CAGTTATGTTTTCCAGTTTTACATCACCACCAGTATTATAATGTACAATTTGTTTTTAAATTTGATTTTTATTGTTTTTAATCCCAATTACATATTAGGACTTGCATGCCACATACAGTGAGCTAACTAGAGCAGCTCTAAGCCATGTAAATAACAAATAACAAATATTACCTTTCTATTAATTTGAATCTATTTTTGCTGAAGAAAGTGGGGACTATTTTTTCCTAATTTATTTACTATGCACTGATCACACATAAATCAACTAATCTGCGCCATCAAATTACCTCCACCACTCTAATATGCATAGATGTGTGCATGCAAGCACACACACACACAAATAAACTTACTTTCTGAAGTGAGGACATAATACCAATTGTGCCTTTGCGTTCACAAAAACTATTATTTCTCAACCAACAATTCCTTCATAAGATGATCATCAATGATCATCAATTCCTCAAATGAAAAGGTAAGTAGATTACATTGTATCTTTTCTCTAAGTTAAACACTTATTTATTGACTACAGAAAATATCAAATCCAGCATGAATCTCTTATACCTAGCACTTTACTCTGGAATACATTTACAGTTGCAATGAATGCTTGTTAAATCCTAAACTAGTTCTCAAAATCTGACATCTCTGTTCAATGACAAACTTTGTCAAACAAAGCATCTTAATATTTGTTACTTAATGTTAAGCAAAGCACTGTGAAGTTTAGATAGTCATGCCCAGCATATAATATGGTGGCATTTTTAAAACCATGATTCAACTTGAAAACCTGCTGCTCTGACAATGCAAATTTTGACCCTTAAAATATTCCATTTTATCTATGCAAGAACAATCTTCCACAATCTGGTATTCTCCAGAGGTTAGATAGAATACATAGGAATTATAATCCAAAACATTCGAAGAGCAATATGTTGGGGAAGCTGATCTAGATAATCTCCTAACTGTCATAAATCATCCTTTTTACCAACACTTTACAGACTTTAAATAAGATAGTGAGGTATTTTGTTTACATTAAAATTTAGTCCCCCCTCAAACTATGAAATAATTGAGCATGCAGAGGTCGCAGAAATCACATGAGCATAAGACGTATTTGTATAATTCTGAAAATATTCTAACATTGCATATGGACTGATTCATTGGGTTTCAGCCCAATATATTTACATACATACATACATACATACATACATACATACATACATACATACATACATACATACATACATTAATAAAAGTGTCTATATATATAATGAAATGTTCCTCCAGAAGTAATATGCCAAATTGGAAAAGCATGATCCTCATAGTTTAAGAATAAAAGAAAATTTAAAACAATTTTAAAGACTTTACAACACTGATATAATCTTATTTGAAGAAAACACTACTACTCACCACCAGCTCCTTGAATCATGGTGCCGGATTTCTGGACTTCATCAAATTTTGTAAAAATGATGTTCAGCCTGGTTGGAAAAAAATGAAGAATAATGATTTTGGCAGCACTTAAATGACAATCAAATAAGGCACATTTGTGTCTCTAATTTTAAGTCCTTCTTTTTTTAATTAAATGTAAATGAAAACAAAAGAAGCTAAATATTTTAAAGACTATGGAATTTCAAACCTATACATAAATTGAACTATATTCCTCTTACTCTGAGAAAATTTAGTCCATTCTTCAGTCTTAGTTTTAATTTACTGAAACAAAAGATACAGGTAGTCCTCAACTTATAATTGGTCGTTTAGTGATGGACAATGGACCTATTTATGACCCAAACTTTCAACATCCAGGACGCCCTATGATCACATGACCACATTTGGGGCCCTTGATAACTGGCTCACATACACTGGCAATTTATGATATTTTTGTGGAAACTGGTGTTTATTTCTGGTTTCCAGAAAAAACTGTCCTATAGTAAACAATGGATTCACCTTACAACTGTCAGTTTTGCTTAAAGACTGCCATAATAAGGTTATAAAACTAAGTCTTAGTCATGTGGTGACCTGCTTTATAACCATCACAATTTATGACCAAAATTGTGGACTCAATTATGGCTGTACATTGAAGACTACCTGCACATACTTTTCCAGGAACATACACGTATAAAATGCCACTAATTCAGAATGTGTTTTAATCTCATTATTTGTAAGATAGTATCATAACTGAGAGTTGCCAAATCCTCACAATAATCTGATTTTTAAAAGTGGACTTCAAAACCTAACAAACAAACGAACAAAACTCAGAAAGAGAAGCTATTCACTCACCGAGACTGTGGCAATCCCTTTTTGCTGAGATCAGCTCTTACACGTTCACCTACATGTCTGTAGATTTCTACAAGACTATTTATTGCTGCATCACGAACCTAATCATTAAAGAATAGCAAAAGGAAAATATTTGTATATGTTCAGCTGCATAAAGAAAAAGCAATGATATTACTCTACACACTGTCAAAACCAAAGACTTAGTCAAATTGCAAGGCATGGCTATGGCTAGCTTAAGGAAACTTTTGCAGACTTTCTCTATTTCTTGGCAAACGTACTCTCCATTTCCAAATATTATGAACCAATAATGCTGAAAGTAATTAAACTTACTTTGGTATCCTGTATGATTTGAACTCAGGTCAGATTTTGGTATTTTTCCTTTAGCTGAAACCATTTAATATTAAACTGCTCCACTACAACTGAAGTTTCACTTTGTGGCTTGTGCAACCATACATAGCCTGTGATCTACATGCTTAGCCATTTTACCAAAGCACAAATTGATGATTTGGAAGTGGCAGGATGACACATGCAGACCTAGCATGGAACTTTTACTACATTATTACTTAATGACCCAGTGTGACGTACAAGCACTACTACGTAAGGCATTGCCTGCTATGCCAGAACAAGAGAATACAATGTCTTAGAAACGGCAATTTTGAAATTCTTGTAGAAATGTTATGATACACAGAGAAGCACATAGTATGGTATAATTGAAACCTCCGATAGAACTTTGCACTGAAATTCTTTTTCTAGGAATTCCGCTATCCCACTTCTATTGCAAAATATGTGAATGTGACAGTAATCCCCATTTATTTAATAGGTTTATATTCTGCTTTCCTTCAAGAGCTCAAGACAGTGTATATAGTCCTCACTCCTCCCATGTTTTCCTCCACATCAACAATTCTGTGAAACAGAGTAAATTGAGGAAGATTTAACTGGCCAAAAATCATCCAGTAAGATTCCATGGCTGAAAATAACTTGAATTTGGGTCTTTCTGCTTCTAGTCTAACACCTTAACAGCCACCCATATTATATCTAGTTATCCAAGGGAGGGGCCATACCTGAGAATAAAATTGCACATAATTCTGCCTGAAGAAATGGATTCTATTTTCAGAATCTCTATTTCCCATACCACGCTGAATAGACATCAATTTATGATTAAAAATAGCTACAGTTAATTTCAAGACATTTGGTTTTAGAAGTCGCAATAGGTTCATCTTCATTTAGCTTCTTTGAAATGACCATAGCTAGTGTAAATCAGTATTCCCAATGATATCCAGACAACAAATCATAATTAAACAAAAGCGCAAGCTTTCAAAATTCTTCTGAAGGAACCCAAGATTCTTAAAAGCTTAGTGTAATTCAAGCTAACAGCCTGTCTTGCTATATTATAGCTTATTGGAAAATAATTTCTATACAGGTACTTCATGATTAATAACCTGTCACTTAATGACTGTTCAAAGTTACAACAGACCTACCAGGGGGCTACTTATGATCCAGATTTGAAGTTCTGACAGTTGAGGCCCACCTGTTGTCACATGACCAAACTTTGGGGGCTGGGCAAAAGATTGCATTTGTGTCTGTTTGCAGCATCTGTGATCATGTGATCGTTTTCTATGACAGTTTTGCTGAAAATGGCATTTACTTCTGGTTTTCAGCAAAAGCATGCCCATAGCAAACAACTGGTTCACATAATGACTGTATTGCTCGCTTAAGAACTAGGACAGATGCTTTACAACTACTGCGCTCACTTAATGACCACTGCAAAAAAATGTCATAAAATCAGGTTGGTCACCTAATCAGCCTACTTTACGACCATTACCACTTAAGTACAGTTGTAAGTCGAGGACTACAAAGCCTAGATTATTTTGTAACAAATTCTCCTTCTAAGGCATTGATGTACTACAATTCTTGCACTTTTAGGGGTAATGTAGAGTTAAGTTTCCTTCTGAATAAACCATTTCAACCATATCACGGTGCATATTCAAAGTATGTAACCCAAGCACATCCTCATTTCTATAAGAGTTGTGTTGAAAGAGACAGTACTTCATTGAGAGGTCCTTGGGAGAGGATCAAGGACCCCTCATTTCAACCCTGAGCTACAAATACCTTTCTTTATTGATAGCACTTAATTATTTATACTTCCTTCTAAAGCCAAAGGACAGAAAACAAAGTGAATTTTACAGATCTATTTCTATATCCATCAACTGACCTTGGCTCTTACAGATAGCTTATACAAAGGCCCACTTTTCATATTACCCTAAACTGATACTTAAAATTACTTTTACAAGTAGGACCAAATTCCTATAGTCCTCTCACCTCCTCCACTTTTTCCTCCCTCTTGATATTAAGGGTCTTCTTGACTTCAACCTTACATAGAAACAGGTTCATTCATACAATTGAACTAGAAAAAATGTTTTAAAACCAGTTGCAACCAATTTTAAACACGTTAATTATAAACATGGCTAGGTCTGCATATTTAGGCAGCCAAGGTTTGCTTTGAATTCTGTGTACACATTTTGTGTAGAGTTAAACTGGAAATAAAAAGGGAGGGAGACGCTCATGACTTCTTAAGTTTTTTTACTGGGATTTATTTCTGCATGTACATTTCCTGCTTACCCGAGAACCAGGTTATAGTGCTTCTTTCCCACTACCATTTCCCCACATCATCTCTCCCGTCTATAAGGGCACTGTTCAGAAAGCACATCATGGTTTGATGTTGTGATGAAACAACACAAAGCTAACAACTGTACTTGCTTACAGGGAAAAAACAATTGCTGAAACAAGCCAATTGGCTTCAAACACCATGGCCAATTTTCCAGTTAAAGAAAATTTCATTGAGCAATCAATGTGTTTGTATGTTTCAATATTTCTTGGCGAGAAAAGAAATCTTCTCATTTTTTAATAATGTCTATTCATACAACTCATTATTTTAACCAAGTATTAAATCAATCATAACTGGATGGGTTCACACAACACAGAAAATCACAATCTATTATTTATCCATCCATGGATTATTACACCTTCTACTTAAATGAGTAGGCAAAGCAGATAACAACAATGTTAAAACAGAAAGTACAGAAAGTTCCAAAATGAAAGTTAAAATCAAAGTAAATTAATCAACAAATAAAAGAGTCAATCTGATAATGATAGATGGTAAGTGGAAAGAATGAACGAGTGAGTGAATAAGTAGGTAAGTGAGTGGTTGGTAGAAAAGATAGTCCTTTACAGTTTTCTAAATCTAATGATAGCAGCCACCAAAATGCAATTCCCAAAGTAGTTCACTCCAGGCCAGGACTTCTCCTGTGTGGTAAACAAATCTCTGAGTGAATGTATCTGGCAAAGCATCTTTTTTCACAACTTAATGTGGAAGCAAAAAAACTAAAAGTATCAAAGAGAATGTCATCATTATTCATCCAATTATGGAGACCATTTGTGAAGGATTTGAGAAATAATATCAGAGCAGATTAGTAGACAAGCTGGAACTGCCTAAGGAGATCACAATCCATGAAAGTATCTGTAGTAATAAATATGGCATATATAAGGTGCCACAAGACATTTTGCAATGTGTTGCTGCAAAAGACTCATCTAGCTAGCTTTATGGTAATCTGTATGGGCATACAATTAACTATCCGACTTTCAGAACAGTTTCTAGCATAACTGATCATATTTCAACCCTTCCAGCCTTATACCCTGGTTTGCTAGCCATAGATAACAACAAAAATGCAGAGATTAGTACATTAATAAAAAAGGACCACATTTTCCCTTAGCATTAACATGGAATCAAAGTATATTCCTAGAGAAGGAAAATATCCTCCTCCAAAATCAGTGTGCCACGGCAGCAGATTGTTATTAGAGGAATCAAACTCTGTTTCTCTTCTATCGGTATGTGCAGATTGCTAACTTTTGTCAATATATTTACAGTAAACCTGCAAGATAAATAAACATGTTTCTTGCCATCATGATTAATGGAAGAAAGTGTTAAACAATCTTTTAAAAGTTCATATTAAAAAGAAAATCTGGCTTTTCTAAATTTTACAGACAGCTTTGGATTTCCTACCTTTTCTAGAGACAATAAATAATATTACTTGGTTTTTTAAATAGGGGGAATGAGAATTAAGTCAAAGTAGACTAAGACAAAAGCAAAATAATTTATCATGCTGAACAGCAACAGGCTTGGCTTTTGATTTTCTTTTGGCATGATGCAAGAACCCAGACATAGTGGTTTGTAAATCTAGACTTATAGTAGCTAAGTGTGAAGGAGGCCAATATAACTTATTCAGCCAATAATTAAAACCAATCTGATTTGTTTATTAGATTAATTTAGTCCATACTATCTATCTTATTTAATGTTTAGCTATTTTTATGTTTTTTTCTAGTTTTGTGTACTTCCCAGATTATATTGGAGTTAGACTGCCAATAAATTTAAATAAATAAGATAAATAAAAGCAAAAGAAGTGAACTATTCATAGGAGGAATCTTGGTCAATATACACTGCATCAGATTTGGCATCCACTTCAGACTCAAGGCCCTAATCTAAAGCATTTAAGCTCACTTTTTTTAAAAAAAAAGCAACACTTTTAAAAAAATGCAGAATAGTTTTGCTTAAACTGAACTTTTGAATTCTGCACCACAAGGACCTCTAATATACTAGAAGATCACAGATGTGAGATGAGTAGTGTAGAAATTTGATAAATAAATAAGGTGGTTATAATGAAAAAAAAAATTGAATGGTCTTACAAATGATGTCATAATAGGTCAATGTAGCCACCTATCTTTGATCAGCATAAATACTGATTCAGAAGAGAAGTTCCAGTTTAAAAAGAGGTTAAAATCCAAAATTGATCTAGGGAGAACACACATACGCATCCAGACATTAACAATAGCATTTCCAGAAAATACTTACCTCTTCTGTATTTTTCTCTCACAAAGGTGCAAACTTTTCTAATTAATCCTCCATTCTTCTTTCTCACAAATCATACTCATCCTGCCAGCCATCCTCACTAGGCCTCTATCCTCCTCCCAAACGGTCCTTCCATGCTGTTCTTCCACCTATCTGACCTATCATGGCTGAAAGCTCTTTTTGTCTCCATGGTAACCACAGGTAAGCCACTGTGTTGCAAGACTAGAGGGAAGTAAGGCTTTGCCAATAGACTGCCCAAGGTCCTATCATCTTGAGGAAAGGAATGATCACAGGAGGGCCAAACATACATGTTAAAGGATATTTTTGTGCATCCTCCCACCAAAATTATAGATGATAGATAGATAGATAGATAGATAGATAGATAGATAGATAGATAGATAGATAGATAGATAGATAGATAGATAGATAGATAGATAGATAGATAGGAATATATATGTATGTATATTTTTCCCAACTGTCACTGTTCAAGGGTACAACTGCTGATAGCAAAGGTTCTGGAACCTGGACTTCCACTACTGGCCTTACGTATACCACCCATGCCCTGGGATAGGAAGAATCAACTCAAGATCCCTGGGCAATTCCAATACCTCACAAGTAGCCCATCTCATTCCCCAAAAGAAATAAACAAAAAGGCAGATAAACAAGTCATTTTTTTGTATATAGATGAAAAAAATGTATTTAAGAGGACTACCAAAGAGTAAGACCATGTTGTTGGCCCCATCTCCAGAGAGCCAAGTATTAGTGAAGAATTACCCATGAAAGAGGATTATTTGCGTTCAGAAGAGTAGCACTACAGAAGTGATAAAAGGAGAAAACTTAAATGTACATTTTTTTGTCACAGTCACTAGCATTTCCTTTCAACAACCCAGCAACTAATTTGCCTTACAGCAGACATGTCAAATACAAGGCCTGTGGGCCGCATGCGGCCCGATATGTGGTTCAGTCCGGCCCAGGGACCTGCTCTGGAAAGAGCGAAGGACCGGCCCAGGCACTGATCTACAACCTGGTTGCGTCCATCAAAGCCAGAATGCGCTCAGCATTAAATCCACTGGGCAGCTTTGCCTTGCTACCTGGGTGCGCGCGCAAGTGGAGTCCAGCGTCCCTGCTGGCTGTCTTGCCCTACAGGCTGACTTCACCAGGATGCCGCACTGGCCGTCTCCTGTGCGCACACCCAGGGGGCAGGACAGAGACGGTGAGGCAGCTCCTTGCTGGTTCCAGTGAATCTTAGGCTGAGCGCGTTCTGGCTTTGATGGATGCAACCAGGTTGTAGATCAGTGCCGCGCCCCCCCCCAGCACCTCCAAACTCGCAGCCACGAGGCTTTCCTTTCACCGGCACAGACCCCCCCATGCAGGATAGCAAGACCGGGGGCAACATGGCAGCACTGGCAATCTCTCCCCCTCCCATCACCCCTTTCCTGAGCGTGGGGGAAGGAAAGAGATGAGAAGGCGAAGGAAGGAACGGAGGGGGGAAGGAAGGGAGGGTGGGAAGGAGGGAAAAAGGGAGGGAAGAAGGAAGGAACAGAGGAAGGAACAGGGAAAAAGGAACGGAGGGTGAGAGGAAGGAAGGAAGGAAGGAAGGAAGGAAGGAAGGAAGGAAGGAAGGAAGGAAGGAAGGAAGGAAGGAAGGAAGGAAGGAAGGAAGG